TTCATCCCTCATCCCGCCGCCGTCTGTCAGGCCACACCTGTCCGCTTTATTTGGTGTCATTCTGGTAAATGAGGCGCGGCGCTGGGGTGTTGTACCCTCCCTTCCCAGCCGGCCTCGGCACAGGGTTTGCCGGTGAAGAAAAACCCCTTTCCCCCTTTCTGCCGTGTGCGGGGACCTGGTGGAGATGCTTTCTCCTTTGAGGACTCTCAGATGTGGGCACCTCATCCCTGGGTGCGTGGGATCTGGCCAAAGGCCAGGCAGATCTACATGCTTCCACACTGGCTCAGCTGGGGCCATGACTGCAACTGCCCTCTCTCCTTCCCTTTTTTTTTGAGCCATGACTGACACTGCCCTCTCTCCTTCCCATCCATGTCCATGTCATTTGTAGGGTGGCTCTGTCTACAGCGGGATGTCCAAATCCCAACCCTCTGCTCGGCCACATCTGGCATCTCCTGGCTTGTTCTTGGGGGGTTTGTGGACACAGCTGTCATTCAGGGAGTCTTTCCCACTCTCTGGGCTCCTTGCAGATGTGCTGGCATTTATCATCACCCATCTGCTCCTCGCCACTCGTGGGGGAGTAACACGCATCCCGTGGCTGCCCAGCCTGCAGCCTGCCTGAGCGAGGTGTCCACACAGCTCCACTCTCTTGGCTGACGCCTGTGCTCTTTCCTAGCTGTCACCCGAGACCGGCCCCAGGCAAGGAGGGACCCGTCTGACCATCACCGGCGAGAACCTGGGCCTGAAGTTTGAAGATGTTCGCTGGGGCGTTCGAGTCGGCAAAGTGATGTGCATCCCCATCGAGAGCGAGTACATCAGCGCTGAGCAGTAAGTGCCTGGCGAGGGGTGGGCGTGCTCCGGGTCACCTCGGTAGGTGGGCAACAGGGGTGCTGGTCTCAAACGCTGCCTGTGGCTGCTGAAGACATGGAGCTGACTAGGCTGAACTGTGAGAAAAGTACCTGCTGGTGGTGGTTGCTCTGGAAGGAGCCCAGAAGCTTTCGGGAAGCTCCCCCAGGGCTGGCAGTGCCAACAGCCACCGCCTTGGTTTCTCATGGACCAGCTGGCACCTGGGACCTTTGCTTGGTGTTAGATCTGTCCCTTCCTGAAGCCAGTCCATCCCCACCATAGCACAGGGAGAGCCTCGGTGCCGGGGCACTGAGGGCTCCTTCCCTTCATCACTTAGGATTGTGTGTGAAATTGGAGATGCCAGCCCAAGCAAGGTCCATGAGGCACGGGTGGAAGTGTGCATCCGTGACTGCTCGCCTGGCTACCGGACCACGTCCCCCAAGAGCTTCACCTTCGTGGTAAGCCCTGTGCTGGGGAAGAGGTCTGGCACTGTGGGACGGAGGTGATGCTGGGTGGTTTTGGGTGGTTTTCCCAGCCAGTTGGAAAATTGGCCTTCATTTCCCTGAGGGACAGGTGGGGACGCTCTGGGCAGGCGCTGGGTCACGCTGGTTGAATTTCTGCAAGGCTGCTACTGCTCTGCCTCCCCATGGTCCTGCTGGCACTGCCAGCCCTCAGCACTGTGCCCTGCCACTGTCCCACGGGTCGCTCTCCTCTGCGGCCCTGTCACCTGCTCGGGGCTGCTTGGGGACAAACGTTTCAGTCCCCAGCCCCTCCGACAGCAGGGATGCTCTTTTCCTTTGACAGACGCCCACTTTCTCCCGCGTGGTCCCAGCCCGGGGCCCTCTCTCTGGTGGCACGTGGATCGCCATCGAAGGCAGCCACCTCAACGCTGGCAGCAATGTCTCCGTGACTATCGGGGGACGGCCCTGCGCTTTTTCATGGTGAGGGGCATGGAGGGTGGTAGAGGGCAGGTGACGGGCACCTCTGGAGGCAGTGGGACCCCCAGATAGAGGCAGCGGCTGGGGGGGCGTGCCGGGGGGGCAGGGGGGGCCCAG